CTGAGGAAAATTGGAATGAAAACAGAAGCTGACATTATTTTCTTTATTCAGACTATTGTCCTCATCTTTGTCGCCATATTTATCATATTTATTTTAGTAAAAATGGTTGCTGAAGACATTAGGTTTATAATACCCAGAAATTCATACCCAGATGTTCTCAAGGACACATGGCACAGGCGTTGGTTAGCTCCAGTGACAAGACCCAAAGAGTGTGAGTTCAATACCCGGTTAAGGCAGTTCCTTTCAGAAGGAAATTAACAGGACTGACATCCATCAAACATGGCACGTGGAACTAGAACAGTCTACCCTGGTGAGCAAAATAAAAAGGGTTCAGTTCAACATTCCAACCACCTGAAGAAGACCGGAGTGTACAACGGCCGAAACGTGATAAATATGGCGACAAAGATGAGGACAATATTCCGAATAATGTACATAATACCTCATCTCAGAAATATAGACAGACTCAGAAGCTGACATGTTAGTGAAAAACTGACCCAGAGATCTTGTCATGTGTTCACATTATAATATAAACTTATGAGTGATTGTTTTTTTTTTTAAAGGATTATATATTGTTGTGGAGGCTTGTATATTAATAAGTCGTCCTAAATTAGGTTCGACGTACAAAACGTTAGGAACTTGGAAAATAGAGTGAATGACGCAGCAAATCTAGTTGTGATGGTTGGTACTTCAATGTCCGATATCGTTGACTTGCTGAACACCACTGAGCCGAACTGGCAACCGCCACTGCTACTTATTGTCTAAGGGAGAGTCTATTAATAATAGAATAGGTACGTCCAGGCATGACATATATGAGTATATATGGCAGAGTTAAACAACCCCATAAAACAGGTAAATAAGTAAAATTTGCAAGTTTATTAGTCAAGAAGGCTAAACATGGAGTAAAATTGCTTTATGTGGTCAATAGACATAAAAATAATTCATTACTGATTCATAAATTAGAACCATAAGCTCAAAGAAGAAAGCAACAGATTGTGAGTTCTGTCACTACACTAAGGAAGTTCGTAAAAGCTGATGTTTGCCGTAAATCCAAAGTGGCTGACGTCTTTGTAGAAAGAAGGAAGTTCTAAATGAAGAATTCTTGTCAAACAAGAAAATTATAGGAATTCAATCAATGGAACAGTACCAGATATGAAAACATTGAATAGAAATCAAAACATGTCAGAGATCTTCAAAAGGGATCAGTTGAAAAAATTTAAGTTTGTTGGATGCGACATATCTAAATTATCAGTCAGTTATGTGCCATGTGTGATACATGTTTAGGCGATCATATATCATTCGATACATGACTGATGAGGCAGATTTTTTCCCCATAGTAGATTGTTATCCAAGGCTATAGAACCTGTTCTATCCTGCTATTTACCCATAGCTGGGGTGGGGAAGAAGAGGATTCATACCTTTCCCAAGGGCATTAGCACATAAATGAATGTAATGGATTCGACTGGAATTCAAACTCGACACTCCGATTTCTCAATCCGAGCCACTATACATTACTCCACTGTGCCTCCTCATTTGAATTATACTGTGAAATAAAATTCACATGTCTGAGAAATGTGACCAAGAAAACTTACACTCAAGAAATATGTGACCAATAAATTCCGCATGTCTGAGAATTATGTGATCAATAAACTTCACATGACTGAGAAACATGTGACCAATAAATTTCACAAAATCCTGACCAAAGAAATTCACATATCTAAGTAATATGTGACCCAGAAATACTGACCAATAAACTTCACATCTGATAAATGCTTAACCAAGAATTATAGAGCAATGCAATTCACAAGTGGATGCATGTGCAAACATAACTAATTATTTTTCATTCCCAAGATGGGAATGTGCATGTAGCATAGTGGTTATTGATGTACAAAATGAAAGTGGCATGCTGTGTTCAAATTCTGGCTCTGAGTTTGTTGCATTCACATTGGCATACTTTTCAAGAAGTTATGAATTCATCCCTTCTCTCCCCAGCTATGGGTTGAATAGTAAGGCAGATTGGACTCTCTAGAGAAAAAAAAAAGAAAATGTATAAATCCATTTTCAAGTTTGGATTTTAATAAAATTCTAACTGCTTGAGTCAAAAGTATATACAGTAATAGCAGTGTCAAGGGAAAAAAATCATCCCTTTGACACCATTTTTTGTGGTTATGAATGTTAAACATTTCCTTTTTTTTAATTAAACTTTAATTATTTTTTATATAAATTTTACACTTATTTTTATTAAATAATTTTTATAGTCAGTGTTTTGATTTGGTCATTATCAAGGCCTGCTGGGACATTCTCAGTATTTCAGATCAAAAATTAATTCTGAATCAAGCAAAATTCAAAACTGGTTGTGGGTGGGGCTGGCAAGTCCATCCTGTAAAAATCTACTCACTACAAAAAGCACAGCAGCAACACCTCAATGGTAAAGGTGGGGCCCTATTCTCCAGAGAGGGAAGATCGTAAACAGACAGAAAATTAAGATGCATATGAAAAATTCCACTGAAGAATGCTATGAAGCATGTTTGTTTACTCTCTATGAATATCTAATCTTACAGAACAGGGACTTGCTTTTTTTTTTCATTTATCTTTTCACAGCTATAGTGCCAGTCCAGACGTTTATATCTAGAATACACCATGCTAGGTCTGCAAAGGCCAACCACCCTCATTTCCACTTGTGAGGAGGAAGTTCCACTCAGAAAACTTTCCACCAAAGAAAATGCTGCATTGTGGAATAACCTCCTATGTGGGTGCTTCCCTGAACACTACAATCTTAACTTCTTCAAGTCAAGGGTCAATCATTATGGATCCTCATTATCTTCACTTCCTACCACTTCCTCTTACATTCATCTCACACAACCCATTCAATAAACCTTTACCTGGAGTGGCTCACGAGCCTTATATTGGGTGAACTTTAGCAAAAAAAGAAAAAAAAAAAAAAGAAAAAGAAAAGAAAGCAGTGTCAAGCTGTTTGGAATTGTAAAGTGGCCATTGTTAAATGTAAATAAATGGCAGAACTGCTCACCAAACAGAATTGACAAAGTTTGCAATAAACAAGAAAAAGACAAGAACACATAAAAAAAGTATATAAAAGGAAGCAAACAATATATATAAGGCATATTAACAGTAATAAGGCAAAGCAACAGTAATATGGCAAAATGTTCACAAAGTAAGAATTGGAGTTGACACACAAGAGATAAGCGAACATAGATTTATGACTTCAAGACAAGACAGACCAGGACTGATTCATATGAAGCTGAGAACTGGCCTGTTTTATTGACTTGGAAGAAATCCCAGCATGCAATTTTGTGCTTCTGCCTATAATTTTGGGAGGGGAAAGTGTTTTGCAGATATTTCTAGTGTAGATTGGAACCAAGTTTCTAATCTGTATTTTAACCAAGGTTTTAAATTCTTTTCTGAAAAAAAGTAAAAAAAAAACATTCAAATTTTGCACATTGCACAAAAGTATAGAAATGGAAATAAACCCAAGATTGCTAACTGGAATAAACAACAAAAATCAACCTTTTATAATAAATGGCATTTATTTTTGCTGTGAAAATTGTCCATTTTAACAGGCCTAAAATGTATGATCATTCAATAAGGTATAAGAAAAGTTTTAATGAAAATTCATAAAAATAAATTTTTCTAATATATCCCACAAAAAAGGCTAGCTCCCCACCCCACAAAAGATCTTTGACCATCTAAGTTAAAAACAAACAAATGTGGTGTAATTTTCCAACATTTATTTACTAGAAATTGATACTGAGAAAGGGAAGTACAACTCTTAAACAATAATGCTTATGTAACATTTCAAATTTAAAAATTGGATTTAAATTTACTACAAGGTTTGATTTCCTTTCAAGTCCATTCATCATTTTCTTAGGAACATGCTAGCACTTTGTATTTTTTATATAAGGCAATTGAATGTTACTGACTTCTAATTGCAGTTCAAAAGAACATGGTTCCTCTTCACTATGCTTCATAATCTGACGTTCATTTTTAATGGCTTATCAACCCTTTTCAAGTTATTTAAAGCCACAAAATATTTTTAGATTGTAAGAATTTTTAGCAAACATGGCCTTTGTGCCCGAAAAAAGATGGAGTGTCAAAAGGATGTTCTTTTTCCATGACATTGCTTTTATTTTAACAATCTTCCATTCTCAGCTATGTTTATTCATTCAAAAATTTATGATTAGAATTTGAATAAAGCCAAAACATATGGTAAATTCATAAGAAGTTACAACAAAAATATTAAAATACTATTTATTAGATTGTTTATTAACAAGAATAATTTCATATTTAAAACATTCTAAAAACTAATAAAATTACAACTAATGCAATGCAATAATTATCATTTATAAATGTATAAACATTTACAAAATTATTAAAATGTGTGAACTATAAGGAAATCCTTATTATTTACCATTTTATAAAGTTTGAATCAATTTGTAATTAGCCTGTTTTGCCAAACATTCCAATAAATAAATAGTGGTTATTATTTTTGTTGTCAATTCTCAAGAACAAGGAAAATTTATAAATTCACTTTCATATCTTTAGACTTTATTAAAAATCTAATTATAACTTTTTAAAACAATAAAATTACCAAAGAGTGAAGGTTATTAAAAAGCGGCATCATGGGAAAAACTTATTGCAGGCATCAAGGTCCATGTTTGTCAAAATCTTTTTTTTTTTTTTTTGAGATGACAAAAGTTTTATTAGTTAACCCATAGGTGGGAGATGGGGTGGATTCATAGTTTTCCCAAACCTAAGTAAATATAATGAAGGTCCATGTTTGTCAAAATTTTTTTTTTTGGAGATGATAATAGTTTAGTGACAAAAGTCTTATTAATTAACCCATAGGTGGGAGATGGGGTGGATTCATAGTTTTCCAAAAGATATTTAAACCTAAGTAAATATAATGAACCCAATGGGAATTGGAACTTGTCTCTCTGATTAAAAATTATGAGCCATTATCCATTACACCACACACACATCCAATCTTACAGCACCTGGTATTCCCAGGTGGTCACCCATCTAGGCACTAACCAGGCTTGATGTTGCTTAACTTCAGTGATTGTACAGGATTCAGTGTTTCAACATGATATGGCCATCAGCCCTTCTTCAAAAAGGATAATTGACAAGCTAGAGAAAAATATTATTTTTCCCAGTGTGTTGCAGCATATGTGCATTTAAAGTTGAATTTCTTGAAAATGCAGATCCACATACTTCGCAAGAAAATGGTTTCTCTCCAGTGTGTATTTGTATATGCTGTACCAAGTGTGACTTTCTTGAAAAGGAAGTTTCACATACTTCACAAGTATATGGCTTCTCCCCAGTATGTGTCAAGACATGTGCTTTTAAATTTGAGCTGCTTGAGAATGCATAACCACACACTTCACAAAAAAACGGTTTCTCTTTAGTGTGTGTTCTCATATGCCGCACCAAAGATGAATTCTGTGAAAACGAGTACCCACATACTTCACAACAATAAGGTTTCTCTCCTGTGTGTGTCTGCATGTGTGCTTTTAAGCTAGAATTACTCGAAAACGCACATCCACATAATTCACAAGAGAATGGCTTTTCTTTAGTGTGTGTTCGTATATGTCGCACCAAATGTGAATTTTGTGAAAATGAAAAGCCACATACTTCACAAGTATAAGGTTTCTCTCCAGTGTGTGTCCGCATGTGACGCATTAAGTCAGTTTTCTTTGCAAAAGAAGATTCACATGTGTCACAAGAATATGGTTTCTCTCCAGTGTGTATCCGCATATGTGCATTTAAATTTGACTTACTTGAAAATGCAGATCCACATTGACAAGAATAGGGTTTCTCTCCAGTGTGTGTCCGTATATGCTCTACTACATGTGATTTCTTTGAAAAGGAAGAGCCACACACTTCACAAGTATATGGCTTTGTTCCAGTGTGTGTCTGCATAAGTATTTTAACAGTTGAATTGATTGTAAGTACACATTGAAAAGAAATGATTTTTATTCAGTGTATTGTTCACATATGTTGTTCCAAATGTGAGTTTCTTGGAAAATAAGATCCACTTATAAGTACTAAGCATACTTTTCTTGTGCCATGTTGGAATATCTGCAAGAAAATAAAATAAAATAAAGATATAGAACTTTCACAATTAAAAATACAAGACAAAATAAAACTAAACCAATTTCGATGGGAATAGATTGTCCAGTTTAAACTCCTCCCCTATCTTTTGAACAGAAATAAAGGTTTATACCCTGTTTAGGATTGGGTTTCCAGTTCCTTTTAATTTCTATTTCAACTCTATACTTCTAACATCTCAACTTTAAAATTTTTACTATTTATTTTTTTTCCACAGTAGGATTAGATAGATTCACTTATCACTTGCTTCACACTCCTCCTGGCTTTTGAATAGAAGTTTATCACTTGTTTCCTGTTTAGGATTTAGATTTCTGACACCTTCTCCTTATCTTTCACTTCCAGTAGCCCCGTGCATCTTAGTGGTGTTATTACATTGCTTGAGATGAATTGATTTAAAAAAAAAAAAAAAAAAAAATGTAGATTGGAATTTGATGTTTCTAGCCAAGGTTCATTAAGGGTTTGAGGTCATTCAACATCATACCCCATCACCACAGTGACCCAGCTGATATTGATTTGATATAGACTTGTGTACCTTTTGTTAGCTACTATTTTTTTCCTCTATCCAACTACACACCATGCAATTCCTCTTGGCAATTTATTGTCCAACCCTGGATGACTTCTGGTTAGCCAGCAGTATGTTCTTTTCCATAAAAGGGGAAGCAAACGCAGCCACAATTTCTATCTGATCAGGAATATGGTGATGTACTTGGCTTGAAGTGGTAAATACTGATTTGATTCCCCTCATTGACATACCCATACATGTACACACAGAGAAACACACTTAAGCATCACATTCTGCTTAGACTTATCCCATTTTCATTCATGTTAATCATCCACTGAAGGAAAAGAAAAAGAGAATGAGAAAAAAAAAAAAAATTATTTCCTTTTCCTTCCTCCCATTTTTTTTTTATCCTTAGGCACCACACACACACATACATACATACATACATACATATCAATATGTTTGATATTTTAGAATACAAAAAATAATTTTTGGATGAGGAGTTATCATCATTTACATTACTGTTTTCATCTTTGTTGTTATGTTTCGGCAGCCTTCTTCCTGTGCTTGTCAATTTGGGTAACCTTCAAGGAATTTCAAACCCTTTGTTTATTCTACAGAGACAAATTGTTTTCATAACACTGTTCATATCTAGGGATATCTCATTTTGTTCTTTGTAAGCTTTGCCTTACCTAGCCCATGGGTCAAGTTCACAACTACAACAGAGGGCACAAAGGTTGAAATGTTGAGATAATAAAAACAAAGATAGGGACAATATTCTTATTAAATAATGTAAATATAAAAAAAAATAATGTACATTTTTTTTTTTTTCAAATGCTTACATACACATTTCAATACAATACTAAAACATTTCAAGATGCTGGATCATTTGCTGGGACTAAATTCACCCAGTAGCAGAATCTGGCTGTATAAAAGATATGAGAATTCCAGTGATAGTGTTTAATCTAAACTTGCTTTCTGATTAACATAATCACACACACACACGTGCATGTACATGGGTGGAGAGTGAATGAGAACAATGTCCCCAAGGCCATGGGTCCCCAGTGGATGAAAATGTTAGTTGAAGTAATCTAAAAAGTGACTTGACCCAAAGAGAGTTCACTATTTTGCCACAGCAGAAGAAGAAAAAGAAACAAAAGAACTTAGAGAGTTGAGTTACTAAAGGGAATTAACTGAAAATGAGATTTCCCAAAAAAGGTATGGCACAAGGAATCAGAAGAATCTACCCCCATGGACTAAAAGGGTCCAGTTTGAAATTTCAACATATATTACCTGAAGAAGACTAGAGTATACAATGGCCGAGACATCGTGAATATGGCAATAAAGATGAGGACAACAGTCTGAATGATGTAAATTTTTGGAGGTACCCACAAAAAATAAGCGTTACCTTTACAAAACCCTTATATTTACTAAATGACTTCAAAACACATCTCTACAACAAATACAAGGATTTCAAAGAGATTTTTCACTTTGTTCAAGTGAATATGCCAGTGTTATAAAAAGTCTTAAAAACTTTAATTTCATACAGAATTTATTGTTCTTTTAATATGAATTAGCTTTTTAGATTATTTTCTTTCAAGTGATACGTAAATTTAAATTAAAAGAAGACATTTAAATTATTAAAAATACATGTTTTCTTTATTAAGTTTCTGGCAGGAAGTAGTACAGATGGCAAAACAGACAAAACAAAATTCTGCCTGGTTACTACATATTTCACAGTGTATATTTGTGCATAAGTCAGCTTCATATATAGTGTGACCCATGAATTTTTTTTTAACTCCTCCAGAAATAATAGGTCCATCCACAGATTCACTTAAAAAAAAAAAAAAAAAAAAAAAAAAAAAAAGAAGAAAAAAAAGAGAGCCAAAATTTAATCTTAATGGTATTATTTATTAACAGGAAAGACCAAAGGATGTTTTTATTCTTTTTAGAACAATCAAAATTAGTTAAAAATCTTGTTTTTCTTGCCCTAGCAGGAGACCAAAGATTAGTATAGGAAACTTTAGTGCTTTTTTTTTGTGGTGAAAAATGTTGATTTAAAAATTCTTGCAAAAATCAAATATTTGTTGGATTTTAATGAAACCTTCAGGACTTATTAATAAATGAATGAAGTTATTGGAGAAATGGTTCTTTTTTTTTTTTTTTTTTTAAAGAAAATCTTGGTAAAATTCTTTTTTGTTTTTTGACATCTGTTACCACTTATTTTATTTTATGAAATTTCAGTAAATTAATTTTTGTACTGCTTAATATTTATATTAGTTATATGCAAAACATCTTGGAGAATTTAAATCGTCAATTACGTTTTGCAAAACAGGACCACCAGTTACTGAAAATCTGCAATAAAACTAAGACATTGTTTAATGAGAAATATATTTAATTGCTTTCATGGGTAAGATATATTATGGACCCTATTGTCTTAAGAAAAATGTATTTTCTGATGAATAATAAATTTTTACAAGAACTTGTTTTTGTTTTTTTAAATTTTAATTAGAATAATAATTTATAGTCTTAATTTTCCATATTGATTTGTACCAGTTAGGTGATATTGTTAAGTAAAAACTATATTTACTAATCATAAATGGAAAAGCTTACAATTCAGCAAATGCCGATATTTTAAAAATAATTTTTAATTTTTTGTGTGCATTTTTGTAAATATGGACATCCATAAATCACATTATCAGAAAATAAGAGCAATAACTTAAAGCCAAAATAACTAAAATTCGATAAGATATTTGATTATGGAGAATATTTCCCTAAATATTTAGGCTTACTGGGTAATTAAAAATTACATAAAAATGGCACTCATGTAATATTTCTCAAGAAATTTTTACAGATATGTCCACCATATAAAAAATTAGATAAACTTCTGTCAGTCAAGCTGTTAAGACCTGTTAACATATTAAAAAAATGCATTTTTGCAATTTTTTAGACTTAAAGTAATATTTGTTTCAAATCAGATTAATTAAACTTTTTAGGTACCCCCAAAAAAGAAAACATACCTAAGGTTTAAAATAAATTCTTAAAAATGAAAAATTTTTCTTGATGCTTTTAGTTTTAATTTCAAACTAATAGATTAAATTCATTATTTCCAACAAGCAAAATACTTTACTGTATTTCAAAAACAAATTTAAATTAACTGGATGGCATTTTTTCGTTTTTGTTAAAACAATTGATTAGTGCCCTTTTTTCAGTAGTCTTTCATTGCAATGTAATTCTTTGATTAAAAAATTTTAAAAAAATAAAATATACTTTTCCAAAACTTTGAGGAATATTAGATGATTTAAAGTATAAATAATCTGATTTGAAACAAATGTTATTTACTTTAAATTATTGAGAGTAGTAGCTGTTTTGATGTGTTGACAGCCTGATGATAGGTCTATGTTGTTCTGAGACTTTATCTGTAAAACATAATTTAAGAAAATTATGTAAATGCCTATTTTTAAATAATTTTTAAGTACTCAGTAAAC